CCACCCCCACCCCTCTGTCCCTGCACCCCACCTGCACCTCATCCCTGTCCTGACATCCTCTCCTGCCCTCCACCTGCCCAGCCCCGCTCTGTGCCCCTTACAGCTCTGTACCACCCATCCTCTCCCCCTCCCAGAGCCACCATGGCCCTCATGCCCCCACATCTGGCACCTCATCCGCCTCCATACACGGTTGCACTCCCATTATGTCTTTATAGAGCCCGTGCCCCACGTCCTCGTACACCTGTAGCCTTCAGCCTCCCCTGCGTCCCCATCCAACCCCTTCCCACCTCTCTCCTTCTCTGCCCCCCTCTCGTCTCCATCCTGCTGGCATTGCTCCCCCTCCAAGCTTCTCTCCTCCTAGCTGGGGGATTTAGGCAGCCCCTGGAAGAGTGTCGGGAAGCTGGTGTGTGCTTGCTCTGCACTGCATTGCGTGTGTGTACAAGGCGGTCTCTCTCGCAGGGAGGTGGGCCTTGCTGCAGGTGTGTACATCAGGGTGAATAACATTTGTGGCCTAACTCCTTCACTTGGATTCCTTTTGCTGGCTTGTGCACATGAAAAGGATGGCCTGAAATGTGTGTTCATTTTATAACAAGCTGCTGAAAGAGAGGGGCACGCCAAGGAGCCGTTACTTTGGAAGTCATGAATGTTGTTGACTAGTAATTGCTGATGGGGCGACGTCGCCTACGTGTCTCGTCACCTTTGTGTAGCTGTCAAATCTCCTGCTTACCGACTCTTTTCACGGGAACACACAGCACCTGCCGCTCTGGAGCCCTGGCCTAGCTGGGCTCTCTGGCACTGTGGTCTCAGCCAGCCCTGGCTCGTGGGTCTGAGCCCAGGTGAAGAACGGCAGCTGCAGTGGAACAAAGCTGGGTGGCAGAACTGCCTTGTGCCGTGACCTCTGGCTGGTCGAGGTGAGCCCAGGGCTGGGTCCGAGGTCTGCTTGGTGGCCCCCTTGGCCACGGGGCCGCGCCAGGCCTGGAGGTTGCGGGGGAAGGGATGGAGGTGGAGACTTTCTTGGGCTCCTGTGGGGCTGTTGAGGAGCCCTCTGGAAAATGGTCTCGATACTCTCAGCAGCACTTGCAGTTTGGCTTCTAGGCCGGGGTCCGGCCTGAGTGCGGGAGGCCCCGAGCAGGCCGGTGTCCTGTGGGCGGCGCAGCGCTGCCGGCCTGGCGAGGGCGGGCTGAGTCTGACTGGGGTCAGGCTGTCCCCGGACCCATCCCTGGGCAGTGAGGCCTCTCCCAAGTCAGGGTTTCACACGGGGCGAGTGGCTTTTGCTGACTCTCCAGCCAGGGTGGCTGACACGTTGGCGCCCGTCGCCTTGTCAGCTGGCTCTGGTGCTGCACTGGGGGCACGAGCGTTCAAAGCCTGCCTCTCTGGCGCTTTAAACCAGGGTGGGGGAACCCCAGTCCCAGGGGCTGGATGTGGCCCCTGAGGCTCAGGCCTCCCCCCTGCACTGGGGGCCTGCATGCGGCTCCCAGCCCTGCTGTAAGGAGAGGCCCGTCCTAGCGCAGAGGCAAGCCTCCAGGTGAGCGGTTTCCCCGGTTAGAGGAAGCAGAGTGGCAGTGCACAGAGCTGCATTCTGCCCCTGCAAACCAGATCTGGCCGTCCTGTCCCCCTGCAGCAGGAAGCTGGCGCTCCAAGCTCATGGAGGAGGGTCAGGGCTGGAGCGCCAGCACAGGCTCCCTGCTGCAGGGCGAGATGGGGGCAGGCCACGGACCACACCGAGAACCCCTGGTCTAAGAAACGAGACAGGGCGTGTGAAGAGCAGGGCTTCCCTCGACCGAGGGCTAGAGCTCTGCACGACGGTGACATGGAATCCGGGTGTGTGCGCAGATCCGCCGAGCCGCTGTACTTCATCTTGTGCCAAGACCTGTGCTTGGCCCTCGGGCTGCATGGGCGGTGCCTGGCTGGTACCCGCGGTGGGGAGGGCGGGCTGCATTCCCGGCTGGCATGCTGCCTCACCTGCTTCTTGGCGGACAGGGATGGCCCATCGTCTGGCAGCCGGTGGGGCACGTGGGTCTAGGGTGCTGGGCACGGGGCAGGCCCGCCATGAGCAGGCTCCTCACTGGTGTCTGGGGGTTGTTTGCCCGCTGGGTGCAGGAGAAAGGTGCAAGCACTTGAAGGCCTGCTCCAAGCAGACGCTGTTGAGTTCTCCGAAGGTGGGGTCTCTAACAGCTCGGCCAGGCCCTTTCGGGTCCGTGTCTCTGCACGCCGGTAGCTCTGTCTCTGTCGAAGCTGAGATGTCCATGCCTCGTGCTGGGTGACTGCTGCGGTGTAGTACGGGGCCGGTAGCTCCGGCGCCCTGGCTGTGCCACAGCCTGGAGCCCAGGGGCAGGAGGGCCATGCCCCGAGGACTTGCAGGGAAATTGTTTCCATGTTTGTATTGCTACAGCCGCTGGCTGTGCGTTCCGGGCCGCGGGTGCGGGGTGCTCCAGGGCCATTCGTTAGCGAGGAGGAGCAGTGGAAGGAGCATCCCAAGTGAGTGACGCTCCCTTGGGTGGTTCTTACAATGAGAGAATTTTAATGAATGTCTTCCCAGTGTGTGTCAGCCACGGGGCAGTGCAGAGCAGGCACCGTGCTCCCCGGAAACAGCCTGTTAAATGTGGGGGAGGGAGGAGAACAGCATTTCACCCCGTCGGCCGCATGCCTGGTCCAGGGATCCCGGACCCAGGCTGCACCACTCCCAGCTGCGCTGCCCCGTGCCGAGAACACAAAAGCATTTCTGCTACAACCCGGGGTGGGAGCAGGTACCTCCCGGAGCCCCTGCCAGCTTGCCCAGGCGTGGTACCTGAGTGACAGGGAGACTGAGGCAGAACCCACCCAGACCACTTGGGAACTAGCCTGGAGGGGGCCGTCCAACCCCTGCTTTCAGTCCCTTTGATGAGAAGAACCCGTATGGTGGCTTTCAACCTTCCGAGGCTTTCTGCACGTTGGCTAGCGCCCTAGTGCCGCCCTGCGTGGGGTTACTGAGCCTTCCCTTCTCCTCCTCAATGAGGAGGAGAAAATCTTCCGGGGTCAGTCATCACCTTGATCTCAGTTCAGCGGGCGCCAGCAGCCGGCCGGAGCACTGTCAACCCAAACCATCGTTTTGGGGAGTACGAGCCGCTCTGAACTAGCCTTTGAGAATAGGGCCTTGAATAAAACCCAGGGGACCTGCCTGCTGCAGCACCAGATCCCACCACTTGTCCGTGTCGTCTGGAGCCTGGCTTGGGCACTGATCAGTCAGCCCGTGAGTCTCCCTAGTTCAGCATTCGCCTCGGGAGGTGTCGGATCAGACCGTTGGTCTGTCTTGGCCCACATCCTGCCTCCAGCTGTGGCTGGCAAGGAAGGCGCTAACTTCATTGTGCACAAATATCCCACGCTGGCAAACGTGTGTTCTTCCCGCAGCTGATGTCATTGCTCCCATGAGCCTGGTGATCTGAGTCTTTGGAATAGTTTGCTACCGAGTGTCGCTGGAGGTGGCACGTCTCTGCAGCACCGCGTGCAGCACCGCGTGCAGGTCGTCCAGGGGCCGCCTGTGCACGTTGTGTGCCGTCGACTGCACTGCCAAAGGGAGCACCCGGTGACCCTGGGGGAGTCCTGTGCTACTG